GGGAGCATCAAGCTGTACACACCCCAGGGAGCTCAGATGGGAGCATCAAGCTGTATACCCCCAGGGAGCTGAGATGGTCTCAGGGATATTGCAGCAAGGATAACAACTGGAAGCACCATATCTCTTTTGTGATTTGGAGCTACTAAAAACAGTCACACACAATTCCATTCTTCTCATTAAAACCTTTCATCAGAAACTGACATTTACTGGTCTTAATGTGGAAGTTACAAGATCTACATGTAATTTCACCCCTAGAGAAATGACAATTATTCTATAGCAAAATTGCACTCGGAGAACGATGTTTTAAATTTCAATGTGAGGAAGTGTACAGCTTAAACCAAACTTCAATTACTCCAGTATAGTACTAGCACAGTTGACTTGACTTACCATGGAGCACAGTGTAATGCACAGAAGATCAAGGTTTGCATTAGAGGCTAAGACCAATGTTCTGTTCTGAAGAGCTTTAGCTAGGCTCTGGGATACCATACTCAACACTTGCCAATCAGTTTCCTGGTCATATCAGAAAATATGGAGAACAATCCAAAAGTTAAATCCAAGGTATGTTCTGTATTGAACTTTAGTTATTTTTGTACTCTCCAGAAAGACATCTTAACAATTTACACAGTTGCAAAAGTAGAAATTGGACAGGTCACTTTATGTCATTTTCTACATCACAAACAGAATCATTTAGTGTGACTTTGCATTAGGGTTTAAAATTACTGTGTATATTTAAAGAAGTCCAGCGTTTCGTCTTTTTATGATAAGCATCATTCCATGTACAAACTTACCTTCATGAATCAGCTATATTGAAACTGAAGGCAAGGTTAACTCTATTTGGGAGACTCGAGAGTAGAGATGAAAGCAATTCAACAAAAGTTCATGATAACTTAGCACACATAGTCTAATAAATAATTTCAAATTTGTGATTAAATGAACTGAAGTGTTTTCAGCCAGATTTTGAAAAGTATTGAAGGGAGGCATAAAACACACGACATCACAAAACAGTCTGTGACCATAAAAACCCAAACTTCAAAATTCATAAAACAGATTCAGAGAAACAAGACTGGAAATGACCTCCTTGTGAATAAGGTCTGTTGACTCTCCAAGGACAATTTACATGTAACTTCTCTCATAAACTCAATGTGCTAAGTATCTTCCAGCTTTTAATGTTCACATTTAGAGAAAATGATCTCTCCTTGGCTGTAATGAAATGACTGACAAAGGGTCAGAACTCACATGTTTCAGGCAAGTGGTGATGACTTTGAAGGCGTCAGCAAATGGAATGAATGTAGTCTTACAAAAACGTTCCCCAAGGGGCGGGGATGCACAAACTGTGGGCGGCAAGGTCTTAGATGTAATATCCATCTCAAGTCTAAATGAAAACAAGAAAAAACAAACTAACCTCACTTCTGAAAATGAGGACACTTCTTGATTACTTTTGGGTGAAATATGCAACAGCAAATTCAAACGTCATTTGTCAACTGATTGAGATGTCAAGTTAGTGTCTGACATTTGTCTAATCCTGAGTTCATTACTCTCTCAGAGTGGGTTGGCACAACACACGTTGTTTATAAGACCACTAGAATCTACCATTTTTTTCAATGAATGAAGCCAGCACAGATAAAGTGATTCTTACTTGTAATCACAGAGAACATAGGAGCTGTATTTCATGTTTCCATCTTTGTCTGGTAGACCAATGTGATACATGCTGTCTGAACGCAGCATCAAAAGATACTCAAATACCTACATGTAAAGGAAGACAAACAACGCAGTAGGCTAGGTCGTAATGGAATGCAGAGTAGAAGATCCTAAAATCCTAACCAAAATTTAATGTGACCCGTTACGACAAAATGAAAGTAAAGTTACATCTCGCTCTTTCCTATTTTGACGGTCCAAAGTCACATTGAAGCGGAGGTTGGTTTTGAGGTTTTGTAATATTTAGAAAGAGTAACCTGTCTCCTATTTAATTCCAAATATTTCACAAGATTATATATTTAAAAATGTTATTTTTTAAGCAATTTTGAAGATAGCATTATTCGCGCCTGGTGTGAAATAGTGAAAATATGCTGAGCACAAAGACGCAAAGCTGCCAGAATAATGTCACTTTGTCTCCTAATACTTTTATCCTATTGTATTCCATTTATATTCACTGGAAAGTTCTTTTTCTGCTGAATTAAAAAAAAACCATATCTCAATTTTTTGGTGACAGGTCACAAATGTTCAGAGATCACTACACAGAGAAAGGGGAGAGTAAAACCAGTTTAGCCTCCCATTGAAAGTAGGCTGTCGCTGAATATTCAAAGTTCAACATTTTGAAAGATGAACAAGTATACACTACAGAGACTGAACGTTTAAAAACACCACCAGTCCAAAACCAAGCTGAAGTAGGTAATTTGGATATTTGACAATTCCTCTCTTTCACTGTTTATTTTCATCCTTCAAAGTGATCCACGGTGCAAATTTTGTCTGCGGAAGGCTTTAGTAGTTACAGGCAGTGACAGTAGTGGAACTTGCGTTGTTCATGTGTATATATATGTATATTGGTTTCATTTCTTGGTAATGAGCTCCAAGCTCGACCAAGAGAGGGTACAATCTCTTTTGGAGGGAACTGCACCTCGTTGGTTCACAAACAACTATCAAATGCACACGTCGTGGTCACATCACTGCCAACAAAATGAATACTCCTCACCAACAAGGCTCTTTTTAACCAATGAGGGTTCTGCTCAAAGCGGACAGCTAAGAAGCCGTCCACCTGGTTTTGGAATGATGAGTCACAAATAATAACACACAGTCACTGAACAAATTGGGACACACACAAAAACCAGTCCTGGGTGTATTAGAAATCAATTCAGTGATTTCCACTGTCAATATTTATAGCCTAAAGTGGTCATCTGCTTTGATACAGCTGTAGACCATTCTCAAAATGAGCAGATTCGGCTTAGACCTGATTTTCCCTGGTACCAGTCAAGAGCTTGAACATGTGGTTTCACATGCTGCTTCAAAATTGGCTGGAACCAGCAAAACTAAAGTCTAAGTCGAATCCACTCATTTCAGAAATGCTCATAGCCATACTGATTACCTCACAACTTAGGTCTTACCATATGTCTGATTGTCCGAGCCGTGGCCGAGTTGTAGCCATGCTTGTACTGGGCTTGCATATGCTTCACTAACAACTCAAAGGCAAGAACACAGTGGTTGGATGGCAGACGGTACAATTTAGACTGGAAAATCACAACCAAAGTAGAGAAAACAACAATAAGACTCACAAACGGCCATAATCCGACATTAGAATGTGTCTACTCACTCGTGTTGGCTCCTCAACTTCATAGAAAAGACTTTTTGCGAAAAGGAAAATGCCATGTTACATGATACTGGAACCCTTAGCATAAAGGATTGGCCTATTGGTCCACATAGAATAGAATGAATGATACGTCCAGCCTCTACATCTCTTGTTTCAAGATCCATTCTGAACCAATATGCACGTACCATTTGCCATCATGAACAGAATTTACAAAACAGACATCCAAGACATGTACTGAAGTTGGGAATATGGTCCATTTTGAGGTGATTTGGTGTGGGCAACAAACGTTAACCTACCCTAAAGAGTTCCATGAGGCTCTGGACAGCTGCCTTGATATCAACCAATTCATTATCATTCTCTGCAACCCTCGTATGAGGTAAGGGGGTCTTCGATGGATCAGCTACCTCAGTGGTGAATCCCAGGCTTGCTTTGGTGTGCATGGGTCTCATAACAACCTAAGGTAAAACACAGAAGAAACAAATCATTTAGTAATTCATGACTTACCTGAGACAACCTTTAGGTTATGCGTTGCTGGTACCTCCATGGCGTCTCAGAGGCTGGGTTTTTTTTATCTAATTTAGCTACAACAAATGCACAAATGTTTACTCGAGCATATCCCAGTGATACAGTACGTTTGCCCTCTGAGGACGCCTCAACACATACCTTCGCTTAACTTACATGTACATGCTAATGTTGAAGTTGTCGGGAGAGTGTGGCAGAACAAAGTTGATGATCAACAAGAACTTGTTAGCCAATGGGTAGATCATTATAACGATGACAATGATTATAATCATTAAATTGATGATAGCAACAGAATAGTTAATGACAAATATGACAATCCAATCCTTGAATAATAATGCTATGACAGTAAATTAATTAAAGGGACATTTGTAAATACCTCAGACATTTTAACCATTCCTATTGGTCAAGAACCTGTCATGTGGGTAGTCTCAAATAAGGGAACAAATATGTGATTTGCAGGTGCATATAAGACCATGATTAGCACCTGGTAACCAGGAAAGAAGGGAGAGGTCGGGTGCCGAAATTAGTGCAAGGCTGATACCAATCATGTCTTCACAAAACACCTCTCAACAACCTTTTCTCGCATTAAATGCCTGTTTTAAAAGTGTTTTTACTTATATTTGCAATTTTTGAAAGAATCTTCCGTTGTTTTCCCGAGTTCCCTTCGCAAAGCTCAGTCCATTAAAGCAAAGCTGCACTGGTCCCACTGTGCTGCACCCATGCCAGAGAATGTGTGATTGGAATGTGCCAAATTATACGTCCCGGTAGATTATGCTACATTGGCCGTACACACGTGCAACCCTACAGCTGGAGGTCAAAAAATTGATGTTTCAACAGGATTTCTGCAAATAAAACTTGGTCTCTTGTCTATGTATGTATTCTCTGTGTTCAGGAGTTTACTTTGAGTTGGTTGTGCTCATACTTGAAGCAAGCTTGCTTCCACAAAATTTCCTACCACAGCAAAGGTTTATTGCCTGGCTGTTTGGATGCATCATGCAAGCTTACCATGCGACACACAGATTTTGTTGGCCAGTTTAACGGTGTGATCACCTGACTAGTATTGTGTGAATTGTCTATAGTTGTTGTGAATTGTCCACTGCAGAAATTTGTACAACGCGTAAGACAGGTTTTTATCCATTTTTGAGACAATTTTTTAGAAGCTTCCTACCCATTTATGCCATTCAAACAGCACAGAAAAATTAACCCCGACAAAATTTCCAACATACTGACCCCATTTTTGAGCGGCATGTAATCAGAAGCAGAACTATTATTTTTTTGGCCTAATATGGCTTTACTTTAAACAGCCCCCGGGTTCAGTGAAGCAGCTCCCAAAAACCCCTGACATTTGAAAGGCCAGGAGCTGTTTCTAGCTTCTGGGCAAAAAAACTGAATGTCGACCCCTGCCAGGGCATTATCAGCATTCGGTCTCCTGAGCAAGGTCTTAAACGTTACTTTAAGACTGGCCAAGCACATACTTATTCTCCTGATGGCACTGGAAGGCGAGTCATTGTCGATGTCATGGCTAGTTTGGGGAAGAGCTCCGACGGGTTAAGTTGTCTGTATGCCATTATGACAACATTAATTCTGCCACAAGAGGGCTATCACTTGATCAATGCACTGGATGGCGCTGCATGCTGCTCTGGGCTGTGCTACACACAAGGCGTAGCAATGTTTTGATCGGTACCAATTTGATGTAATCGAATCCAAAGTGCACACAGCGCAGGTGCCATTTACATGAAGAGAGCTGCATTCCCTACAGTACGGCCGCAGTACACTGTATTGAACATGTACACGTACTGTTACACGTGCGCTATAATGAGAGAATGAGACATCGTGCACGTCGCCATGCTTTTTCGCCGAACGAAATTGAGCGAGCACTCGGCCAAGCAAGTGGAAGGCTTGCCATCAAGCCATGAGGACGAAGTACCGGCATGATTGAGTGGCATGATACGGCTAAACAGTTGCCCTCACAATGTATTTGACGTCCTACAATAAAAAACAGCGTTTTTAAAGTATTGGGGGTCAAAATGAATGCGTTTTAATGTTTTTTGCGCGAAGTTGTTTTCGTATTCTCCATTTTCATAGCGTAAAATACGCCAATACAAACGCTAACAGAAGCCCTGCTTAAGTTTACAGAATACATCCAATGAATCTGCACTTTTGGAAGTTCCCAATTCACACTGTACTGGATCACATTCGGTACACCCTCAGACAGTGCACGCCATATGCACTAATCTAGGTATTGTTGTTTGTGGGGCATTTTCAAAAAGTAGTAAACTTTGAAATTTATAATTTTTGGAAATTTATAATTTTTTAAATTTGTTTCGACATTCTGACGTAAAAGGTATTTATGAACGGCAATAAATACGTGCTTGGCTCATGAGAATGGACACTGATAACATCCCTCACCCTTACAGCAATCAAGATAATGTTGATGAAAACAATGACGGCAGCGATAAACAATGACCACAATAGCATGACACAAAGTGGCTCACCTTTTGTATAATGTCCAGTATGTCCAAGCAACGAGGAGTCTGACAAACTTGGGCTACATCCATTAACAGATGGACAGCAGCTTGACGGACAATGGCGTCTTGATCCTCAGCAATGTGGCTGAGCTGAGGTAGGACGACCATCCCTATCAAGTCATCCTGAACAGAGAAATTAGTCGACGATTCAGGCTTGAAAAAATAAGGTTACTAAGCACCAAACTAGTATACACTACATTTACGGGCACAGTTCATCATCTGCAGTTATCCCAAAAGTAACTGATGAAATTATTGTTCAAAAGCAATTAGTTTAAAGATGGTTATAGGACTTAACTTCCTGTGAAAAAAGTCTTTTTGGCAAGCTGTCATTTTGAAGAAATCAATGAAGGCCATTTGAAGCCACACAGTTTTGGATAATTGACATTAGAAGCACAACACACCCGCTCAGTTACCATAATGTGTCAGTTCAGTGTGACATCAAGATGTCCCAGATGCTGAATTCAAAACATGACTCAGCAACTTTTGATCTGAAAGTGAAATCTGGGAACACTGTTTCCCTCAACATACACAGATTCACTGAGCTGAAACTTCATCAGTAAGATTTGAAGCTTTGCATGGTGGACGTTACATGAGATGTCACTATTTAGATCGGTTAAAATAGGGTTAAATGTCCTTTCTCGCTTTAAAAGTATTCCACCCTGATTTTAACCCCGGTTTAACTGCATAGATCAAGCCAAAATGTTCACCCCATTTTAACCTCATTTCAACCGAGCTCACCACCCTTTGTTATTCAAGCCTTAACCCTAACCCTCCTCAATCCTCCAACAGGTGAAGGATTGAGGAGGGTTAGGGTTAATCTTCTCCTGGTCCATCAGCAGTCCAAACGGACAGTCACCCATTTTAACCATGTGTTAACGGTGGAGAGATGGTGTGCTACAAACCGCAGTGTCCCATTGGGTAAATCCACTTATTACCTAATAAAGGAGCAGTTTGGAGGAAATGTCAATCATCTTCCTTATGTTCCACAAGTTGGAAATTGGCTTCAATGTACTGGCGTGTGGAGGTATTTCCACACCCGTTTACATAAATTCACTGATTTTTTACATATAAAGCAATGAATTGATCGAATAAAAATGACACCTGTGTCTGAAGTGGTTTATTTTAAATACTGAAGTTTATGGCGGCGCCCATAGTCCAATGTTAACCATGAGTCAAAAGCTTGTAAGCTTTTACCGATTAAAAATTCCCCATGGCATTAGTGGCAGCTTGGTACTGCCAGCCCATAAGCCCCAACAAATTGGCAAGAACTTGGCAATCCAAACCATATCAAATCCACGGGAGAATCTGGAATAATTCATCCCTTTTTTGAGGACCAACTTCATCATTCTTCAACGGACAGTGTCCCAGCTAACGGGCCGCCTGCGTGGTACGGCTCCAGCTCCCCACCCAAGTACTGAATCGTTGGACCAGTCACATCATGCAACCTACAGTTGACTGTGTGACGCGTGATATCGCAGGCAAGCTTTTCTGCACGTGCACGGGCTGGGGCGGATAAAAGGTGCACAGGGGCGGACGCGGACATGAACCGATATTGCAATGGGTAGCGATCACCTCGACCGGCTTGTGTTGGCCAGTCATCAGTATATTTGTAATTTGAGGAATTACTCATTCTCAACTTCTTCAAATTAAACCTCACATTGCACTTTTTGATCTACAGTCTACAACTAATTCCTGGTTAGAAATCTCTCAATCCCCCGTCCCCAAGCTTAGAACATTTTTTTCATTATTATCTCAGCCAACAGCAGGAATGAAAAAGACGTTACATGCAAATTGGGCTGTATCTCTACGCGAATGGGGCCTAGGATCCCTTGGAATTGCCGTCGATCAAGGGCGATTCCAACTGCAACCAACATCTAATCAAACTTCATTTTTTATGTCCATTTCTAACTTCATTGGCCAAGGAACGTAAGGGTGTGCATGCTGGAGATTTACGTACATAATGTTGTATGAATACACATGTACATAAGCACAAATGTTGTGAGAATTTAGTATTTGTAATGCGGCTGAAATACCATACCTACATTGTAACTTTGCACAATAAATTCACTGATTTTTTACATATAAAGCAATAAATTGATCAAACAAAAACGATACCTACATCTGGAGTAGTTGATTTTGAATTCTCACCATCATGTGATGCGGGGCGCCATCTTAAGTTTACTGTACATGTACATTGTACATGTGTTATGTACAGTACATGTACATGTAGGTGCATGTGTGCATTGTACAGTCCCCGGCTGAGCTAGTGCGGGTATAACTCGTTATCCTGTTTCCGTTTCCGTCTGGTTTTTTTTTTTCCTCAATGTTTCTATGCATGTACTTTGCTATCAATGCCATGCCATATCAATGCCGAACATCCGAACCTAACAGTGTGGGTCGGTTCGGTTCGAAAGTGCCATGTTCAATGATTTTAGGTTCGGTTCAGCGCTTTGGTGGTTTGGCTGAAGCATGAACTTGTAGCAAAAATATTCACGACACGTGGGAGATCAGGCACATTCACGAGGTTGCTAATTTACATAAGCTTGCATGTTGCATTCCATCCGCGGATCAACCAGTCGAGTCTTGAAGGGCTCGATTGTTTGGCAGGGATTTGTGATGGTTGAAATAAAATGTTTGTATCCTGAAATATATGGGAGGCACGACGCCTGAAGACAAATACATTAAGGTACAGGCCAGGATAGGCCTATGAAGTGCTGAGTACCGATGCAAAGAACTCGCTTGTATCAATCAGTGGTGATTAAAAGTTATTTAGTATACGGTTAGGGATTAGGGCGGGACAGCCTATTAATGCGGTATGATCGCCACGCACAAAGGAACTTATCTGACATTGGGGATTAAACTCCACAAAACTGACCCCAGAGTGTGATTCCCTGTTTTAACCAAATAGCTGGCCTGACTAGCCGAGCTGAAAAACCACAAAACTGACCACAGAGTGTGATTCCCC